CGCTGCAGCTACAAAAAAGCTCAATTTAGGTCAAAAGAGCTGATCCGACACCACTGAAAACGCGTTGGAGCTGTAAACCGCCTTAAAGCTTCTCCTGAAATCGGGATAACTTTCTTTTCGTTTTGATTTTTGTTGAAATTTTACTGCCTTCACATATGTTCGCAGATGAAGAAGCATATCTAGAGCTCGTTCTGCTACTCGCTGGTTTTCCACCCACCTGACTCCGCAAAATTTGAGCGGCAATATGGTGCTACCAGTAACTGCTATAAAGTCAGCACGTCTTAGGGGAACATCTTTTAGCAGGTAGTACAACGACATCAGAAACTGATCGATCTTCCAGTCCGTTTTCTGCATACCGCTCTTGAACGAATTATGCACTACATGAAGACCGCAACTGCCAATGCTGAGTAGACTGAAGGAACTGCTCTCACGCATCTCTTGCAATTCAGAGGACAGATCGTTAAGGAGTCGCCAGTTCACGTTGGGTCCATCCATAGACACCTGAATAACTTTTTCCAACAGTCCGGGATATGCTTCGAAACACTTCTTGATCCCACTCATCAAGTCAATCGCTCGTGTCGATGATAGGAAAGCTGAGCCTACATATCTTGTCTGTACTTCCTGCTTGTCTTCATCCCAAAAATGAATGCTTACATCAAGTTGCTGCCGTTGTGCAATTTTGTTCAGTGTTTCTTTGAATCCAAGGACGACCTCGGAGCAACTTTCAACTTTGGTCAGTAAGATCTTCTTGAAGTAAGGTGCCAGACCGTGTGTGATGAAATAACCAACTTTGGTGCGGCTCATCTCCATCTTCGAAGCAATTTGGCTGTCAGGAAACATCTTCTGGAACAGAGCAACACTGGTACCTGCACTACGGTATGAACCATGGGTGGCCACAGTTTCAAGTGCCCATAAAATTTCAGCGGACGTCACCGAATCGTTTAAAAAATACTTTTTCATGACAGCCTGATTGGCGCCTACTGCCACTTCAGATGATGTTGAAGCATTTGTCTGAATTGGATCGACCAAGGTAGTTGTACTCACCTTGGGATCGACAGTCAAACTTGAAGTTGAAGATATGATTTTATCATTTGTTGAACGATCTGAAATTTGAGATAGAAGATCAGTATTCAATTCATAGAATTCTTGTATTAAAGTCTCAGCACATGATGAACTTGATTCGATAGCAACCAAAACAATAATCGAAGCTTCGTTGCAAGTTTCAGTGCATTGTGGTATAATCAAGCTTGTTATTTCGGAGCTTACCATTCGTTCCAAATAAGCTGCTGATCGGCAAATTTGAGCGACGTGCTGCAGCCTGATGCTGATGGCCTTTGCTTTTTTCATGACTCCCAAACGCCACCCTCCCCATTAGACTGATGCAAAATTTGACTTTTTCGCTCCACAGTGCCTAAATGGTTTCAAATCGGGTCCTGATTAGCCTCCCAAAGTTACAACTCATTTGGTTAGAAACAGACTTCGCACAAGCCATTTGAAGTTTTCATGTAAATTACTATGGGAAATCTCAACTTTTTGTTCATTACCTTCTAGTCTTTTTCCATATTGAGCTGCGAAACAGTTCGATAGCCATTCTTATAGAAAACTTTGCTGAAGATCGTTTCTATGTAAAACGAGACAGGAAATAGTTATTAATTATTTAAGAGATTGGTAAACTTATGACATGATCAAGCAGCTGCTCTGTAGGCAACACTGTATTTTGCAGTGTGACATAGTAGCCATGATTTTTGTGTCCTATTCAACGCCCGAGAAACACCAATGTTGCCTGCTGAGCAGTTGATTGAGCTTGATCATAAGACATCAGCGTATTGAACCATTGATAACTTTTGATCCTTGCATTTAATCAAAAAGTGGTCTTCTGCAAAGTTGTAGCTGGGAAATTTTCCTACAAGTGCAGTTGAAAGCTTTTGAAGCAGACCAATATGGTGAATTATTAGATAGACATGAACAAAAATCTTGGTTTTATCATAGTAATTCCCATACAAACTTCAAATGGTTTGTGCCATCTCAGTTTCTCACCAAATGGGTTCAAATTTTGAGAGGTTAGTCAGGATCCGATTTGGAATCGTTTAAATATTGTGGAGCGAAAATTTTAAATTTTGCATCAGTCTACTCCCCATCGTATCAATTTTGAATGATTTATTGCACCAGGTGCATCGAGCAGCAGTCGGTACTTTGGGATCCGGCGCGCTCCATGGATAATCCTTCTCATACCTCGTCGAATATTTTGTAGTCATGGTTATTTGCTCCAACTTTCTCAAATTTCACTACTCTTATTTGATAGTTTTGCACTTATAAACACAGATGGAAAACGCGTCTCACTTTTTTCAATGCAATTGCGGTTTTGAACAGGCCAATGCTCGCGAAATGAATGAAAAAAAAAACACGAAGTTTTTTCATTGACGAAGGTTGATAGCTCGTCGTCGGGTCGGTACGTTTCAGAACATACCAATACATGCGAAGAGCCGAACGTGAGGTGAACGAAAAAGCTTTTAAAAGAGAATGTCGAACGAACCCGATCGTCCAACTTTGCTGAATCTTTTTCAGACGCTTGATCGCCGTCGAAAAAAAAGCTTTAAGCCGCTTATTGTCGTTCGTTTTTGATCTGGAGTAACAGCAGATCTGTACTACCGTACACCCAAATTTTTCAGGGTGTAGCTGGTGCATGTTTGTTTATAAGCGAATTATGCAGAGCTGTCAATAGCTCGCACTTGGTGGCGCTCAGTCTTAGGTACACCTCGAAAACGGAATCGGTGTAAGAGAATAAAAGCTGCCATCGCCAGTCAACATCAAGGTGGGACTGATTAGCATTTTCGAATTATATTGAGCAAGTTGGACTGAGAAAGAGTGCGAACTTGTGCATATGCAATTAAATTAAAATAAAATATATAATTTGATTTTTCCCGGTTTTGTTTCGGAATTCCCGGTTTTTTTTCCGGTTTTCCCGGTCCATTTCAAATTCCCGACTTTTTCCCGGTTTTCCCGGTTCTGTGGCCACCCTGCAAAACGAATCTTGCTGCAAACCCAACCCTTTTATCCAACATCCCAGTGATTTCTCGTGGGAATGCAGAGGATTCCTCGGCTGTGGGTATCACGTCAACACATTCCTCTCTAGACCTGCGTTCGGACGCGGCCGGCGCTGGTATTGAAAAGTTTGAGATCACCAGTTTTTACGCATTGAGGATGAATGCTAGTCCCAAGCATCGTCTATTGCAGTGGTGCTCAGGCCCTTTCTTTCAATAGCTGTATCTTTGTTCGATGGTGATATTTTAAATAGAATTGTGCGTATTTCTCAAACATTTCGGTCATACATTCGAAATGCAAAAAGAAATTCAAGCTGAAGTTGGTGCATCATACAGATCCAAGCCACACGTGCGGCCCGCGGACCGCACTTTGGCCATCACTGGTCTATTGGTTCTCTGTGTAATTACAGCTGATCTGGCAACAAAAGAGTAGCATCCGTGGGCAGTCAAACATGCTTATGTGAATAAAACTTTTGTCGGATTTGATATATAGGCAGGGTTACCAGGTATGCTGATTCATCAGGATTTATCCTGATATTTTTTTTAATCCTGATAAAATTAAAGGTCAAATGGTTATTTTTTTTTAATCTTGATTTTTGTTTAATCCTGAGTTATCCTGATTTTAAATAATGGATCACCACTTCCAAAATGGCCAAATTTTGATGACAGTGGCGACTTTTTTTCGTTTGAGTTTCCTCACAACCACCGAAGCCCTAAACACCATCCTGATTAATCCTGTTTTTTTTTAGAAAGTGGCCTGATATTTTAAAAAACCTGGCAACCCTGCATATAGGCGACCAACCAGGAAAAGTGTCGAAGAATGGAAACAAACATAACTAAGTTTCGGGTGAACCGAACTGCCGTCTTCCGCTCAAATATTTATCAAACTGAACTGAAAGAGAGGGGCTCTAATTGGTTAAGACATTTTTTAGGATCGTTATAAAAAATCTGGTTCACTTGATGATATGAAAATTTTCAACATTTTAACAAGCAAACAACATGGATTTTCAACCAATTACAGACAATTCAAGGCTCCAAAAAATCACAGATGACAACCTTGCAATTCCGAAAGCTCTGGCAACCCGGTTTCCGCACCCCATGTGAAACACGTGCTGAATGCTAAAAGCATTGGCCCGAATAACCATGAAAAGAGAATCAGGACCATACTTTCGTCGACTTCGATCCGCTACTGCATTGATGTTCGAAGATGGAAAATTTATTAAAAAGTAATGCATTTGCCCGACCGAGGGATGAAAAGTTTTGCAATCTGAGCTCGTCGCCGTCGTCGTCGTCGTATTATCAGCAACGCTAGAATCTAGTAGCAGCAGCAGGTTCTCTGTCATTTTCAAACGATGGAACACATGTGGCTCCTTCGCTTCGATCCCCCATAGCGTGTTTATCGGCGATGGGGTTAGCAATTTTTTTTAAAGCAGATGAGAAGTTTCAGCAGATGTCACAAATTTGATTTCACTTTAATTGCCTGCTGCAGAAGGGCTTTCGAGCAATCAATTGAACCCAATTTCTGTTCCCCCGGGACGAGAATCAGTCGTCCGGGAAATGCCATCCCGTTGGTTGATTGACCAAATCGCGTATCATCAGAAGACAGATTCGACAGATCTCTTCTCCCCCTCCCGCAGTTCGGGGCACGGTCGGGCCAATTGGTCTCAATTTGCTCAATTAATTTAGATGATTTGTGAGTGGCTACCTCTCCTGGGTAGAACCGCCCGTCGCCGTTGCGTCTGTCGTAGGCCTGCTTCACACGAGAAGTTGTTAGTCGAAAGAAGTGAAAGTTGAGAGGTCGAATGTGTAATTCCGGTCTGGATCGAAGCATGCGGTGAGTGCGTCGTACATAGCAGGCGGGAGACATGCGAATGCGTTTGAGTTGTTACCTAATGGATGTTTCTTTTGCTCAAATTGCTCTCGGTTGCTGCGATTAAGGTTTTATGTTTGTTTCGGTTTCTCAATCAGTTTTGTTTTATTTGTTGACTTTTTTTTTTCTTCTTCCTTGTTTCTATATGACTCTTTACAATATTTAACAAACATCTTCTCCGTCTGTCCACGTGCATGAGTGTGTGTGTGTGTGTATGGGTGATGGTTTGGTTTATGGTTGAATGGATGGGCGATTTTTTTTTGTCTGTTCAAATCAAATGCCGACAGCTATTTGTCATTTGTATGGAGGTTATGATGAGAGAAAGAGTAAAATTTGCGTTTGCTTTCTGTCATTCCCATTATAGCGCTTTTTTTGAAAGATAGAATAAATTACACAACACGATAGAGTTTAGTTTGCTTTTAGTAGTAGTTGGTAGGTAAGGAAGTTATGATAGTTGTTTGTTTTGTTGTTCGCATAGAGATATGTTGTTCTGTTTTCTGATGAATCTATAAAATTTGTTTCACCTATCCTAAATAGTTGGGGTTCCCGAGAGAAGTAGAAGAACCGAAGAACTGAACTCAAATATTAAAATGGTGGAGGTAAAAATATGGCTAACTGATTTGGGGTGGGGAGGAAGGTAAACCGAGGGAAAGAATTCAGCGTTCACATTCGTTTCTTCGATTTGCCTTATTTAACAACTAGCTGTCTGATTTATTTGTTAAGGTTTTTTGTTTTTGTTTTTGGTGTTTTACCTACGTCGAAAAATTTTTGAAAGCGAAAAAAGACACTGAAACAAGAGGAAGTATCAATGGCTAACAACAATTGTTTGTAAGTTTTATACCTTCTGAGATTTTACATCGCACTTTTTCTATGTTTTGCTCTGTGTCACTGCTCCTTTCGCTTGCGCTGGTTTTTTATAAACACTTATAAAAATATGTTTTTTTTTTTGTGTGTGCCTTACCCCTCGTTCTTACCCTAGTAATACGTTCATTTCCGTTGTTTCTCAATTCTCGAATACTTGATCAGAGTCTTAGTTGGTTTTTGTCGTTTGCATTTTGGACGAGTACGATTTGTAAAATATTCCCTTTCCCTTAGGTTTAAATAATGAAAAAAAAAGTTCGATTCTAAATAATACTTAAATTGTTCAATAAACTTAACTAACACATTTGAAGTGAGTATTCACCTGCTGGCTTTGATTTTCCATTCCGCCCTACTAGCGCGAGAAGACCTTTGGTTAACTTCGAATTGTTTGACTGTCAAACGAAATAAATAGGAAACTCAACTTTGGAACAGGTTTCCGAAATGATCAAATCATAGCGCGAAAAAAATAAGAAGATCACGATGTCCTTAAGATTAGTATTCCCACACCTGTGTGTTGTTAATTGAGGAGCAATTCCAGTCCAGTGGAAGCAATGTTGTTTGGAAGGGAGAAGAAACAAAACAAAAAAATCGTAAATGTTTGTTAGAATTTCTCACGGCCTGCTTTTAGTGGAGCACCCTAGTCGGATAGTATCACCCTAAGCAAAAGCTTGACGATTGTTAGGAATCAAGTATAAGGGTAAATTGAAGGTGGAAGTGACTTACCGGATGGCCTGCCTTGCCTACTGGACCGACTGGACCCGAATCGCCACGCATTCCCATTGGACCCTGGTGAGGAAAGAAGAAATTGATTGAGGAAATTTGTTTGTACTTTGTTTTACTCGGGGGTTCCCAAATAGTTTGTTATTGCAACAGTGAACGAATTTCTGGAGGTGCTTTTTTGCAGTTCCAGATCATTTGGCCGAACGAATTTTGATATAATTTTTGCGTTTATAACTCACAATAACTCCCTTTTTTTTTTGCTAAAATTTGGTCTTTTTGAATCTTGAACATTTTTCAAAATGGAGTAGGAGAAATGGCTCTAATGTTGGCCTATGGATCTAGGATTGGGCCCATCGCAAAAAATGTACTATTTATCAATTTTATCTATATGAACGCGTCATTGGGTCGGGCCATTTTCATGATTTGTGGCTGATGTGGCGTTTTGGTGATGTGGTTTTAAAATGAACGGTATGTAAGGTGACGTTTTTGTAAAAGGATACTGTGAACACCCAGTTCAAAAGGGAAGCATCCTACTGCCACTACTGTGTCGTCGGTGGCTATGAAATAAAGCAAATGATCAACCATATTCAAGAATTATTCAGAAACTTACAGCAGACAACAAGGCAAACAAGGGGCGATGGTACGAGAAGTACGTAATAAACCTTTTGGTTGGCAATTCCGGTATTTTCCTAGCAAACACCAAATCGATGCATGTGCCACCCAATATAGTCGGCAGCTTAGGGTCTGATACGAGACCGAGTTGCAGAAAATTCTTAATTAATTAATCATATTGTCCGGCCATTTTCACAGAGAAGGAAGGTAGGAAGTGATAAAAATCCCCATATAGAATTTGAGAGAAGTGGGAATAATTCGCTTTCGGTGCATATTCTGGTCAGAAAGAGTGAACGACAACCTGAAGAAATTAGTCAGGGACTTTGTCGTTCTGTTTTTTTTTTCCCGGAAAACAAGCTACAATTAAATAAAAATGATTTTCCCCCATTCAGTTTTACCTGCTTTACTACCAGTCCCCAGAGAGCCAAAAAATTCAAATTTGAGAGAGAAAATTCTCTCTCACGAGCTCATTTTCTCAACATGCCATGTATTTTAATGACACTCGATTTGTGATTTCCCTTTCACAGATTACAAAATAGAGTAGGGTAAACGCTCCTATAGTTGCGGTACGTTGGAAGCGTTAGGTTCCTATAGTTGTGTATGGAGACTCCGTACACAACTATAGGAACCTAACGCTTCTAACGTACCGCAACTATAGGAGCGTTTCCCCTACCTGTCACTACAAAACATGTCTGGTACCTCTTTATATGTATTTAGTTTAACATTTGAAGTCCCTCCTATTTTTCATATTCTGTACAAAAGATACTTTCGGGCCCGCCCCATACATAAAAATTGGCAGGAAATGCTGTGAGGGGTGAGCTATTTTGTGTGCAGAATGTGTGAAAAGGGAGGGACTTCCGATGTTAATCTTAATGCATATATAGAGGTACCAGACATGTTTTGCACTGCACTGTCATCTGTGAACAATTAACGGAAAACAAATTATGTGTAGTTTCCGATTGATGTCACGCAAATAACAGCAGTGACATCTGATGGAAAATGAATGCAGAACCTTGACAAAATGATTAATTGGACGAATCCGTTATTCTCAGCTTTCGAGACGTCTACGTTGAAATCCCCCGCAGGTGCTGGTTCCAGGAATTTCATTCATGTCAAATTTAGTAGAACTCCTAAACCATCTCTTTTGGAATTAGTTATTGGCCGTGAAAAGGGCCGTTTCAGATAGGGAAAATGAACGAAACTTAACCTCCAAAACCATACAGGGTGCGTCCCTAACGCTTCAGAGCGTACGCTTGGCGTCTTCAGTGTAGCTAACAGCGTCACGAATGACGTTTTCCAGCAACAGCTTTAGCACACCTCGGGTTCCCTCGTAGATCAGACCGGAGATACGCATTATCACGACGAGCTTGACGACAGTCTAGAAAGTACCCTGTAAGTTATCATGCAACACCTTCCTCCCTTTTTATGGCACAGACTTGTTGGTCCATATTAATGCAACACCTTACGATGACTCTTGGCTCCTCCTTCGCCGAGTCCTTTACCTCCCTTGCCACGTCCAGGCAATGTTTATGCTGTTTAAGCTGCCTTCGGGTACGGTTGACAGGAAATGGATGCGAAGAACTTACCATTTAACTCTAGAGAGCGAGCTCAATACATACTGACCTGCTTGACGGTCTAACAAAGAATGATGCTTATTTTGACCATGAATACCTCTTTTATACCTACTCGAAGGCTAAATTATTCTTGCAAGTTGTTGCATTTTTGTTCTCCCATCGTTTTTGATTGATTGAACATAACAAAAGCATGTTATTAAATTGAGGAGAAAGCGGTTGAAAATTCAAAGTGTTCGATTCATCGTATCTCCACCGTAACTAAGCACAATGGCTCGTACCAAGCAGACCGCTCGTAAGTCCACCGGAGGAAAGGCTCCTCCTGAAATCGCCCAGGACTTTCAAGACCGATCTGCGCTTCCAGAGCTCGGCCGTTGCAGGAATCCAGCAAGGCCATCTGGTCGGTCTGTTCGAAGATACCAACCTGTGCGCCATCCACGTCAAGCGTGTCACAATTATGCCAAAGGACATTCAGCTGGCTCGTCGTATTCGTGGTGAACGCTCTTAATTTCTCCGGCGAAAGCTAACAAAGCTGGCCCTTTTCAGAGCCATTAAAAGATTCCACAAGAGAGTTGGGAAAGAAATTTCTGCTGCTTTCACTGATCGCATCACAGTGAATCCTGATCTTAAAATTGCAACCAATAGAACCAAAAGCGGTGCGATGCTAGTTTTCATTGCTGTGACGACGACTGTAAGGGGGCTAGAAGCAGAAGGATGAAAGCCAATTCTCTATCGATTTCCTCTTTTGTGATCACCGTGGCTTCACTTACCTATTTCACACTATTTCTGCTATTTTCTTCTATCATCCACAACAACAATGGTATCAATGAATGTTGGCCGTTGAGTTAACGTTATCCGACCTTCTTAGTTGCTCCTCCGTCAATGATCAACGCCTCGTCGTAATACTACATCGACAGTTTTCGTCTAGGCATGATTCTCTGATGACTGTGTTTGGAAAGCAGCATAAGCATGTACGTAATGAGTCGATTTATTAGTTAATTTGACGCTTTTGGTCAATGCTGGACATTTACCACTTTTTCAATGGTTTCGTGTTGAAAATCAACAGTCGGAAGCATTGCTATTGATGCGTAAAGATATTGCCGATCGATTTTTTTGAAATTGGACCAGGGGCAGCTGAGTTATCAACGTTCAAAATCTTTCACAATTTTGTTTCATGTTCCATTTTCGGTTTTCACAAAGTGTACCCCCATATAAAAATCACAGACGTAGTTCTACGTCAAAAATGTCTCAAACATTGGTTTCTGAGTTAACAAAAAGTTCAAAAATTCTAGCAAAAGTTCTTGATCTACGATTTAGGGGCCTCCTTTAGCTCAGTCGATAAAGGCGCAGCTACAAAGCAAGACCATGCTGGAGGTAGCTGGGTTCGATTCCCGGTCCGGTCTAGGAATTTATCGGGTTGGAAAATTTCTCGACTTCCCTGGGCATAGTGTGTGATTGTCTTATCTTATTTTTCTTTATTAAAGAGACTTTCAGCCATCGGCTGGTTCATGAGTATGATTGTACTTGCCACACAATTAAACTATTGCAAAAATGGTACAGGCATCGAAAGCTCTCAATTAAAAACTGTAGAAGTGCATCTAGAACACTAAGTTGAGAGCATGCAATAAGCCAATATGTGATATGCAATAAGCTTGAAATGTGAAGAAGAAGAAGAAGAATAAGATCTACGATTTATATCAATTTTTAAGTGTCCATCGTTTGAATATTTCAAAAGTTCCATTTTTTCATGCTGTTATTTAAAAAAAAATCAAAAATTAGACGTTTATGATCAATCACGGAGTAGCAACCATTGATATGTGCCGTCAGTCTAAGCTAAGCTCAAATCTCAAACAATCACGTATTTTTGACATAGGACTACGTCTGTGATTTCTCTATGGGTTATACTTTGTGAAAACCAAAAATGGAGCATGTAACTAAATTATGAAAGATTTTGAACGTTAATAGCTCAGCTGCACCTGGACCAATTTCAATAATTTTATCACCTATCGATAAGAAATATTTCTACGCATCGATAGCATTGCTTTTGACTGTTGATTTTCAACAAAAAACTATTAAAAAAGTGGTAAATGTCAAGCATTGTTCAATGTACAAATAAAAAGGGTTAATTGTATCACTGTTTTCATGAAATAAACGTTCTTCCCAAACTCAGTCGTCATAATCGAGCACCAATTGGTTGAACATCATTCTGCTTTAAGGTGATACTCTAAGAAAGCCTTAAGGTAAAACTTCAAAGGCACAAATGTCAGCTTCCACAAAACATACAAATTTGAAATTGCTACTCTCTGTTTGTAGTACCACAGCAAACAAGGAGTAGCAGTGGAAGCTGACATTTGTGCCTTTAAATTTTCACGCTTTTAGAGTATCAACTTAACCTGAAAAGATATAAAAGAGCGCTGCTGTCCAGTCTCAACTCATTGTCGTTTCGGACGGCGTGGTGAGCAGGCAACAGAAGCAGTAATAGCAGCAGTAGGAAGGTGGTGACAGGATAGGTAGTTCACTCGTCTACCTAACAAGCAACAATTACTGCTCGTGGCAAAGGAGGAAAAGGTCTTGGTAAAGGAGGCGCCAAGCGGCATCGTAAGGTTCTTCGTGATAACATCCAGGGTTTTTACCGGGTATTACAGGGTGTCAAACGTATCTCTGGTCTGATCATCGGATGATCTCATCTATTCACATAACCAACAAAGCAATTACCCCTGTGTGGAAGTAGAAGGATCCCTCAACTTCGCTACGAAAAATGGGCACTCAGAAGAGTCTCGGCCCGGTGACTCTTCTGAGTGCCCATTTTTCGTAGCGAAGTTGAGGGATCCTTCGCTGCGCCTTTCCAACGACCGGGTCAATCCGTGTCCAACAGTAGCCGGGCCGAGACTCTTCCAAGTGCCCATTCGTCGTTGAGGTATCCTTCACTGCGTCCTTCCAACCCGTCGCAGCCATCTAGTCAACCCGTGTCCAGTAGCAGTCGCGCCGAGAATCTTCCGAGTGCCCATTCATCGTAGCAAGGTTGAGGTTTCCCTCGCTGCGGCCTTCCAACTTGTTGTAGACACCAGTTCAACCCATGTCCAGCAGCAGACGGGCCGAGACTTTTGCGAGTGCCCAATCATTGAACCGAAGAATATGGGATTCTCCGGTCCGATTGGCTGATCCAGCTGTCTACACGTCATCATCATCTTCCAAAGGCTTTAGCCTGTACTATCATCGGCCTTTTTCAGCGCCATCAATATTTCCCAAAAGAGTTAAATTTCTGAATATGTCCCAACTAAAATTCATATTCATAAGGTTCTTGTCAGGGCAATCATAGTCATACTAAAGAGTGTAAACAGAGAGAACCCCGCTCAAATTCCTATTCCTACACAAAACACAAGCTCCTGCTGCAGTTAACAAATAACATTTATTATATAAGGTTTTGTAGGTTTTTGGTTTTAGACCGCTGTGCATCCTAGTCGTGATCCTCTATTGCTTGCTTGAGAACCCCCATCATAGGAAAATGGACATTATCCAGTGAAATACTTACCGGCAGTCCCATCGGTCCGTACTCTCCCTTCTGTCCCTTTTCACCTCGATCGCCCTTCTTGCCATCGTACCCCCGAGGTCCCGGCTGTCCCGTGTGCCCAACAGAGCCCGGTGGCCCAGGAGGACCCGGTGGTCCGTGCGGCATCTCCCCCCGGTAGGGTTCATCGGCCATGCCTTCGTGGTCTTGCCGCCGTCGCATTTTCCTAAACTTCTGGGAAACGGTGTGAGGGTTAACTTGACTGGCCGCTGGATGCTTTCCGGTTGGAATACTCACGGAATCTCCTCGATCGCCTTTGTCACCTTTGACGCCCGGATAGCCGGGTGGTCCAGGAAGCCCCGGTGGACCCATTAGACCCGGAGGTCCAATGTCACCTGGGTCGCCCTTCTCTCCTGGGGGACCTTGGTAGCCTGGTAGACCTGGCGGTCCTTCGATGCCTGTTCGGAATGGATTCTATGTAGATCTGTAATAAATTATGGTAATGACCAGCATCTCTTACCTGGTTCTCCGGGCATTCCGTCCAGTCCACGAGGTCCAAGCGAACCGGGTGCACCGACTTCACCGGAATCTCCTTTGTGCCCTGGTAGGCCATCTCGTCCTGGCAGTCCTGGCGGTCCCGGTGGACCCGGAGGGCCTCGGAACTGTGCCAGCGTTGCTTCGTCATAGTCGTCATCCTTTCCGGGGCCCTAGTTGCGGAGGGCGAAGAGAAACAGTAGAGGTAAAAGCGGTGCATAATAAAATCGTCTGAAATGAATCATCAGACCGCGCCGTGGGTGCGAACCACGCGTTTTGCAGAAAAAAGTGCATTCCACCCATGGCGAAATATTGAAATGGATGATTTAAAACGGCGCGGCAGTGAAGACCGAAAGAGAAAGAAACAACGACGCGAAATTAATTCGCCCAGATTTTCGCCTACTTTGCTGCTGTTTTGTGTTCATATTGCATTGTGTTACGTATTTCGATGGAAATGCACTTAAACCCTTCCGGAATAAAAAAAAGGCAGACTGCGGTGACGTGGGACGCCGCCGATTGCTCCCAGCAGAAGAGGCGAACGTGTAAACACCACCAAAGTGGCGAATTTATTGCGAAAATAACGTTTGCATGTTTCTGCCTACTTTCGTCATCACTCACTCTTCTCTGCTGGTAGATACGTCCGCGAGAAGACGAAGGGATTTTATTCAAATGCTGATTTGTTGTTTTGGGTTTTGTGTTTATTTTTTGCATGTTGAACATGTGCACTTCAAGGCGGAGGCGCGTGGTGTTCATCTAGTTGGCTAAGGGTGGTCATTAATTTATAAATTTAATTTTGCTATCGCAGAAGGAATCCGGAAAATGTTCAATGACAACCCTAGCTACACGTTTCAACAATTTCCCTCATTTTCCCATCAGCACTCAGATGAAAATCCTCACGTCTTTCCCTTTCTTCTAGCCTATATACTGTCTAGTGTCTACCAGTAGTACTGTCACTTGTAGAGTTAAACGATACTCCAAATTGTGCCTCGGTAATCTCTTCCGTCTGTCTGTCTGTCTGTCTGCCGGCATGGGCCCGAAATAATAAATGAAATGCTAGTGCTGCGCCCCTTGCTCCATCGTCGCTGCATGGCGTCGTCCTGTGCAGAATGGTGGAGCAATGTAGACATACATTTTTGTCGCACTTTCGGTGTGCGTAATTTCGTACTTCGCTTGTGCCATTTTGCTCGACTTGTCTAGTTAAAATGTGTGCTCTTTGTTCGGTCAAAGCTGCAGAGGCAAAGCCGTGTCGTAAAGCGGCGGTGTTAAACAAGAATTAATGGACGGAAATTAGAATCAAATTAAACTTACCTTTCGCCTTTTTGCTTGTTTTTTTTTTGGTCATCGTCGTCGTCGTTTACACAGAAAAGGTACACACAGGTGTGCAACATAGATTAGTGCTGCAGTAAGCGTGCTGCCCGACTAATCCCCGAACACTACCCCCGGCCCAGTCAGTGGTGCTAATTACTACGGATTCTACTGAAAGTGCAACATTAAAGGTCTGCAGTGAAGCAGGGTTAGAGAAAGAAGCGAATTAAACCAAACACAAAGCGTCAGTGCCAACTACGGTTTCGGGTGATACGTACCTTCAATTTCAGTTCAGTGACCTTAAGCCAATTTCGCGCTGGTACATCTGATTGTCATAGAATTACCCTTTTCTGTTGTCCCGGTCGGAAGATCGCTCCATGTCCCGCACACATCCGGTGCGCCAGTCAATGAACAACAATCGACCGGGGTGACAGGAAGATTAAATTCAATTTTTGTGGCTTCCAGCGAGCTTAATAAAATAAATGTCGGTGCAATCACCAACCACACCACACCGTACAAAGTACCTACTGCTGCTGCTGGTTCTGCTTCTGTCCCTGTGGGATGTTACCGTGTGTGTTGATTGCTAAAAATATTGGCTGCTCGGTTCGAAAAAAAGGGGAGCTGAACATTGTATGGTCGGGGAGCCAGCAGCATCGGAAAGCTGATGATGTGGAGAGTGTATTACAGCAAGTGAGCAAGTCACAGCCAGCTCTAGCTAACGCCATGGAGTTTGCGGTTGTTGGAACACGGGTGTACCTGGGTAGTTAGTTGTGTGCGGTTACGGTGGTAGTAATTGTGTATACTAACATGATGAGTTATGGTGGAGGGCTTTTGAGGGATGGGAGTTCAGCTCTGCCGTGGTGAGCAGTTGTTCTAATTCAGGTTGTAACGAATCGCTCCCAACGGAGCAGGCGGCGATGACACTTGGGCAGGGTTGAATCGTGATCAAAATCAAATGCTCGTGCAACCGACTCAAGTAGGGGTATTTGATATTATTTACGTTGTAACTATTTCAGATGTCATTTTAATACCTTTATAACGGTACTATTACCATATACATGGAATATTTTCAGACTGAAAACCAATTACCAGCACCGTACATCGGTGTAACTTTGAATTATGAGGGTAACTTTCCACAATTTGTTTCTTCTTTTTGTTATGCCGGAAAATAGTCCTAAACTGCCACAAAAGACGTTTTGTCACTTCTAAAACGGTGCTACGATCATTTGCATGGTATATTTTAAGAATTAAACTAATTAACAGTACCGTAAATGGGTGCAACTTTGGCTTGCTAGGGTTACTGTCTATCATTTTTCCCCTTTTTTGTTACACTAAATATAATGTTAAAACTGCTACCGAACATGTGTTGACACCTTCATAATGATAGTAAGACCATGGCATATTTTCATTTAAAAAAAAACACCTACCAGTACCGTGCATGGGTGTAACTTTGTGTATTGAGAGTAACGTTTGCCCAATTTTATCTCCTTTATGTTGCACCGGAAAAAAATGGTTTGACACCTATATAATGATACTATGACCACATACATTGGTGTATCTTTGGTATACGAAGGTAACTTCCACATCTTTTACTAGCGATTAAGTGTAGCTTTAGAGCAGGGGGGCCAGCGACCCGGAAAAACGGGAAATATCCGGGAATTTGAAAAGTAACCGGGAAAACCGGGAAAAACCCGGGAATTCGACGAGAGAACCGGGAAAAATAAATTTACCATACCATATAGGAACAAATTTTTGTACTAGAATTTCAGAATAATTTGCTGCATAATTTTCTTCAGGTTCCCGTCTTATTGTTTTTTTTTTTTAGAATTTAATCGCTCAGCAATATTTGAAATTGATTTTCGTCGTTTTAATTTCAGATGTAAAGCGCATGGGTATTAAAAGTAAATATTGAAGATGCTCGACTTTAGAAACAAATATTTGTAAAAGCCGAATCTGAACTATTCTTTTCCAAGGTTTTAATTTTTCGTTTTCAATTCGTAATAAATATAAACATGCAATTTTATTCAAAATTCTCATGATATGAATTCCTGAATTAACTTGGATTCCTGCTCTGAAATACCATAATTTTTTTTTCTGAAATTAACCAGAAAACACTCCGCACCGTTGAATTCTTTTTGGAATTTTCTTGAAACTCCTTCGAAAAATTTGATTGGAGTCCTTCTTAGAATTCTCTTGAATCTATTCGGAGACTTTGATTCTTTTGAAATTCTTTTCAAAATTTTCTTTTCACTCTATTCAAAACAGCAGAAATCTTTCGAAATTTTATTTAGAAACCCCGTGGAGTATTTTAAAGAATTTCTTTCTAATAATCAGCATTTTTTTGTAATCAATTTTGTTAAAGCTCTGTGATGAATCTTTCGCACTAGGGTTGAAATTATCCCCAGAACACTCATAGAACTCTGTTTCTTGTTGAATTCTCATCATAATTCTATTATAATTCTTCTTAAAATTCATGTGTCATTTTCCTCTCGATCCCCATCTCAGAATTATGTAGGAATTTTCCACAACTTCTTTTGAAATCTTTCAAAATTACCTACGAATTTAATTTAGAACTTGCATCCTTCATCTAACAATTTCTAAGGACTTCATGTCAGAATGGAATTCTGCTCAGAACTTCTGCTTCGAAAATTATGTGGGATTCCTCCTCAATATTTGTTTGAAATCATCACTTTGACTACTTTTAAATTTTACTAAAATTTCCAGGGTGTGTCCGCAAGATTCTATAGAATGATATTTTATTTGTTATAACCCTTCAAATGCTTCCTAGTCTCAGAGCCTTGACAATTATGACTCCAGCGTGATATTTTTTTTTTCAAATCTGTGATCTTGACAATATTTAAAACCTCACATTTTAATTATTTTCTCTCCAAATCTTGCATCACAAAAATTTATAAAGAAATGTTCTAGTTTCAGACTCTAAACAAATGTCAAAGCCCCAGAATCTTGGGAATCTTCGTAAATCACTTTTTTGTATCCTTTCAGTAATATTCTTCAAGTATTGGTCTATAGGATGTGCTATTCGACAATTCATCCAAATTAGATACTGTATAAATATATCAACTGTAGGCTCAACTGGCAACACCATTTCCAAAGACTGGTTTGGATTTATTTCGCGGTGTTTGTCTCATTCCTAGTGAAAAACGAAAATCTACATATTTTTTTCCTCGATTTGTTTTTCTTCGATCTTGTTTTCCGTGCTGAGCACCAATGCTACCGACGCCAGGGAGGCAGCTCCCATGCCTGGACCCTATCTATCGACCCATCAACTCATGAACCGGGGACCAACGGCTTTACTTCCCGTGATCAGAGATGTTATGCCTCAGAACATCCCGGCGGCCCTGACTGGGATTGAACCCAGGCCTGCTGCTGGGGTGAGAGGTAATCATGCTTACCACTACACCACCGGCGCCGCTGGAAATCTACATGATTATCATACTAAATATTAGAAGTCGTAGAAAATTTCATAGATTTTCTAGAAAATGTCCTTGCGAAATTCTCACGGTATGATCGAATGCTTGTTCCTGGCCTCTACTGCTTCTTCTGAAAGCTGCCCTTATGGGGAGTAGTGCATTTTTAATAACAAACCCACCGTGTCTACATATTTTATGAGTCGTGGGCGTCATCGGCTGCCATGGATATAATTCCAAATACAGTTTAGCGGTGCCTTGTGTATAAATAGAAAATTTGTTGATGTCAATTTTATGGCCACTAGATATATCCTCCAAAATAAGTTTGAAGCGATCGAGTAGATTGTAATCAATCCCAGCTGTATCGGCTGAAATAGTTAGTTCTGCGAAAAAACGCCGACTGGTATTACCATCATTCGTATTTTCAAATCCTGACTTGG